CCCCCAGCCAGCAGAGCTGGCTGGGGAATTCTGGGAGTTGAAGTCCACAGGACTTAAAGTCTCCAAGGTTGAGAAACACTGGCTTAAACCAAAGGTTGTAAGCCCAGGGGGACAAGGATCCTGCAGATCTGAGGGTGTTTTGGAGTTGGGGGGCCCTTGTCTGCAAGTGGTTCCCCCCCCTCTTGAAGAGCGGGCTGCCTGCAATTTGTAAGAATTTCTCCCTCATCCGGTGCTGCCATTGTTCCTTTCCCACTCAGGATTACCCCATCTCGGATGTCCACCTGATTCTGAAGACGGCAAAGGACCTTCAGGAGTCCAAGTAGCTCGCCCATCCAAAGGGTCAGCAGATGTGATGGACGCTTGTCTCCTGAGTGAAGGACCTCTGAAGGAAGGTCCAGTTCTTCTACTCAACCGGATGTGTCTTCTCCTTGGCACCATCTTTTGGGGGCAAGGGACTCTTAAGGAGATGAACTACAAGGCCCCTCTTGAAAGCCTCCAGAAGTGGCCCAAGAATTGGACTCGATGGGAGAGGACCGACCACTTCTGGGAACTTCTCCCGCAAGGGGCCACCAAATCCAGCTCATAGTTTTGGGCTAATAAGTTCTTCCCAGCCGCTCTCAATCCAGATACCAAGCCTTCTTTGTTAGATTTCTTCCTTCTTCGGTTCGGAGACCAGCTATTCTTGGAAGTTTAAAAGAAAAGGGGGGAAAAAAAACCTGAAACGATGATGGAAATGTCTCCTCAACTTCTGCCTTAGACCTATTTCCTCCGTTGGTGAATGTGGACGTGAAAACACAGAACAACATTCTCGCTGTCCGTTGTTGGCGTTTCCCCACTGCCTCTGCGATCTTCCAGTGCTCTGCAGTGAATTATAAGTTATTCCCCCAAAATTGATAAAAAGCCTATCCTTGCCCAATAAAGAGTTTCCTGCGAGCCAAAATAACTAATAATTTAGAGACAGGAGTCTTGCTCTGCTAGTTTTCTGCTTGCAGGGAGAATCCCCCCCCCCCAGGGAACATTGATGCAAAGTGATTATTCTAGCAATGAAAAAAGAATTTTGATTATTTTCAGAACTCTAGCATGTTAATAACCTGCTATTCTGGATTAGTTTGAGTTCCCAAAAACTAATTCGGCCTTTGTGACATTTGAGGAGGTAACTTCCTTTTCCTCTAGTTAAATTCAAGGTAATATGTGCTGTTTGTTGATTTTTTTTTGAGGGTGTGTGTGTGCTATCATCTTGAATATAAGATGGAAATTAGAGGTTCGATGTACCTCAGCAAAGCAAGACTTTATTTTCTGGGTTTTGATGCCAATCGGGAGAATTTTCATTTTGAAATCGTTTTTAAACAGCCCTGAAGATGTTTTATGCTGTGCTGTGTCTAAAGAGGATTTAAAATAAGAATCCTGCTTTTTCCAAGAAGAACAGGGAAAAGATTATTTCTGTCATCCTTCTTGCTTCTACTCCAACAACAGGAAATATCCCAAGGGTCCATTTTATGGCCTTTTTCTAATAATGCATGATGGAACCAGAACCTAGGAGATGGTATCAAAACATCCCTAAATTTATACGTCAGTAAACTGTAACCCTAATGGAACTTCACTGCAGGAAATCCATTTTTGCTTTGCTGCAAAAGGAAGAAAAATGAGCAAGATCCCTGGAATTTCAAAAATTATATTCCATATGTCCCCCTAATTATTACGTATTATCTGGATGGAGGGAAATTGTTCTGTAGTAAGGAGTATGTTGGGCACTTTTGAAGGCTGCCTGAAAATTAGCCTTACAGCTTTTATACAGCATAATCACTGCCAAATCCTGCAGCTTTACCTCCTTCCGCAGAGCAACCTTTAAAAGACACAAAAATGCAAAAACTTGCATGGACAGTGAAACAGCCACTTAGCATTTGACATTCCCAGTGGAAAGGAGAAAAAGAAAGAAATATACATTGCTCTTCTCCCAAAATACATCTTATTAGGTTTCTTGCAAGACAGAAGGCTGTCTTGGACCATTTCCCCCCCCCCCCCCATCTTTTTCTGGATAATTGTCTTTTTCTTTTTTCTTTTTAATTTTGATGGCAGCCACTTACTGGATACGATGTGCGATGCATAGCAGCTGAGTTTTGAGTTTTCTCTGACAGTTAAATGGAATGTAAAAAAAACAAAAACCATTCGAATTATGATATTTAAAATGTCACGTGGCAATGAAAGGACGAAAAATGTCTGAGTGTGTTTGTGTTAGTGTGTCTGTGCATAAAAAAATTCCAGTTTCTTGCATATTGGGGTAGCAATATACAAGATTGTTACACACCTGTGCACACCATCCCACAAAACTGCTTAGAATGGTTGAGCCTATTGTTACTTCCAAGTTCAGTGTGTAAAAATGCTTTTGCGAATCTCTTTGGCTCTGTTACACCAAGAGAAATAACATTTGTTTTTCTTGGCAGATATAATAGATCGGATCGGCTCAATTTTGCTGCCATTTTATTTCCCTGTCCTGCCGAATCTTGCTTTCATTCTCTCATTTTGACACCTGCTGCTGCTTGCCGAAATAGCTTTTTTATTTATATTGGCTAAACTGGCTTCCCGCTTTGAGCATCAGATGTGAAATTATGTTAAAAAAAAAGAATGGATGGGGAAAAGATAGAATAAAGTAAAAAAAATGCTTGTGAAGTATGTAGAAATAGGTAAGAAAAATCTTGAACTGAGTTTAGAAGAGTATAATTGGTACAGGAAATTCTCTACGGCTCTTGGTCGATCTGTAATTTTTTTTTAATTCTGTATTTTGGGAACAGTGGAAATATGTGTTCAGCAAATTCTCTACAGCTTCTTTTGTTGATCTGTATTTTTTCTTTCTTTGTTTCTCTTTGGGGGGTGGGGGGAATGGGAACAAAACCAGGCTCATTAATGATGAAGTTATTTCAAACGATCATTTTTTGGTGGAGGATTTCGCATAAATTGAAATGAAAATGGACAAATGGCGAATAAAGGGGACAAGTTATTTTACAGAATTATTTCGGGGGTGAAAGGTTATTTGCAGAAATTGGAATTAAAAAAGGATAAACGATGCACAAAGGGAACAGTATTATTTTGGAGAGGTTTTGAAAGTGCTTTTGCAGAAATTGGAATTAAAATAGACAAATGATGGATAAAGGGAGCAGTTATTTTAAAAGATTATTACTGTGAAAGGGCTTTTGAACTAATTGAAATTAAAATTGAAAAAGGGAAGTTTTTTTTTTAAAGTATTATTTTGGAGAGGCTTTAAATATCTTCAAGGACAGACCAAGGGACCGAAAGTGCAAAGAATACGGACATTTCTTAAAAGGGGCAATGCCGGATTGATGGCAAATCTAAGATCCCGGGGCTTTAATTGGGAGTATAAAGTGGCCACTTTCTACTAGCTTTCTTCCCATCACAACAGCCTTATGAGGTAGGCTGAGTGGAAAGAACAGGGGAATATTTGGAGGGGGGGATTTTCAGCGGGATCTTCCTGCGCTTCCAAATCTTGCCACGTTGGGGGTATAAAGGTGAGATTTTGCGACTTTCACCCCCTTCGGTCGTCTGTCCGCAGTGGAAAGGGAGGCAGGGCCCTCACTCGGAAAAGGTGGCAAGAGGCGAACTGTCCTTTTTTTAAAAAAGTTATTTTTATTCTCTTATAGTTACAGGTATACATTCACATAGTTATTATTCTTAATGTATATGTGTGTGTGTGTGTGTGTGTATATATATATATATATATATATATATATATATA